GAGTTTCTGCGGAGCACAGTGCCTTAGTGCTCACGCCCCACATTTTCATGATTTTCAAGTCGCAGGGTCGGAGATGAGGAGTGAGCGGGCGAGCTGTTCAAGATATTCGAAATTTGATGTACTTGATGTTGAATGATTAAACTTTTCAGAACTTTTTATCAGACTTTCATGTTTTGCCACGCTAGACTTCCGCTAAAACTTTCAGACTTGACTCCGACGATAGTCGGATAATAAATTATAACCGTTTTATGTATCAGTTTTAAATTCTAACGGTTTTCAGAAGTTATGTTTTTCACGGTAGCCCCCGAATCAGCTTTCGCAAAATAAGTGTTTTAGTTATTTATTCAGAAAATTTGCGAAAATGGCGTATTCTGATGTATTCGAAAGTCGGGGTGTTACAAATATTTACCCCATGTACAGAGGACACGTGTCGGGAACGTATTGGTTGATAGCGACCACCACCTCTGACAACTCCCAACGCCACCTCTGACATGCGCACGGTGTGTCAGAGTACGGATGGGCAGCTTGGGCAACCAGCTCACCAAACCCGGGAAACCCTATATAAAGAGGTGTGAGCCTTTCTTCTTAGACACGATTTCCATTACTAAACTCAAGTATACTCATACACATACTTACTTAAGCATCAGAGGCTCTTCACCGGAAACAACCACCGTTGTGTGAGTTATTTGCAGGTTTTCGGCGTTTTATCGGTGAGGACAAGAATCGATCTACTCCAAACCGGGGTAGGACGCTCACACCTGCAATAATCACTAAATGTGTTATTTCTTGTAGTGGTCCTGTCCATTGAAAATATTGAAATTTTAGAAAAAAAATTCAAAAAAAAAACCAAAACATTTTATAAATACCTTACCCACCCCACCCCACACCACCCCTTCCCCCCTCCCCCCCAAAAAAAAAAGATTTTTCACACCTTTCTCAATATCTTTCTATTATATAATCTTTTCCAAGCTCTTAAATTGCTAATTGTTAGCTTTTGTGCTTAGTTTTTTTATAATTAATATCTTATAACAAAAGGCATGTGCATGTGTAACAAAGGGCAACACATTAGCTGTGTGTTATTAATATATTTTATGTCACATTTGATCGTATCACGCTTCACTTAAATTCATGCTTAGTAATAATTGATCTCCAATTGATTTTTTCTATTTAAAATAGGGATTTAGGGTTTAGTTATGAAATATAAGTAATATTTTATTAGATTATAGATAACTATGATAATTGTGAATAGACCTCACTTAAAATATAGATCGAACAGAATGAACCTTACTTTTTAATTGATCAAAGTAGAGGTATTGTATGCACGTTCATGTTTATATCTTACGGGTTTAGAGTACTAGTCATGGCCACGGGCTGGCCAAGTCTGTCGGTTAGTCCTAAACTGGCCGAATCGGCCCTGAACCAGCCCGTGGTCAACAGGCCCATAACCGAGCCTATAGTTTGACTTGGCTAGTTCTGGGCCTTATGTATAAAACGTTTTCGACCGGTAGGCCAGCCCTAAAGATAGCCAGTCATATTTTTTTTTAATTATTTAATCTATGGATCGGGTTGTGGCCCGGTATTGGACTGTTAACTGTTGCTCGCTAATTTGGGTCGTAGAAATTTTTTGACCGTTGAAGATTCAACGGTCAGATTTTTTTCAATTTTGTTTTTTTAAATCCAGTTCCTCGGTTTGAGTCTTGTTTCGACCCGACCCACCAATTCCACAACAGTTGGCCAACAGTCAGATTTTTAAAGCTGACTGTTAGATCATTTTGACCGTTGAGATCCAACAATCAAGATCCAGCCGACCCACCTGACCCACTGGGCTGACCGAGACTTGAACCCGGCAGGTCCTGTAAATAAAAATAAATAAATAAAAATATCTAAAAAATAAAAAAAAAAAATAAAACCAAAATAGCACACAAAAAAATTCTCTAAATACCTCCTTCCCTAACAAAAAAAAAAACATCACTCCTTTAACAATTTCTTCATATCTTCTCTACTCTTTTCTAAGCTCTTGAAATTCTAATTTTTCGTTTATGAGCTAAGTTTTTGTAATTAATATCTTATGGAAAAGGGGCAACACATTAGATATGTGTTATTTATATATCTTGACCTAAATTTCATCCTTAGTAATACTTATTCTCCAATTGATTTTTTCCTATTTAAAACAAAATATTTAAAATGGGGGAATAATGTTTAGGGTTTGGGTTTTAGTTATGAAATATAATTAATATCTAATTAGTTTATTGATAATTATGATAGTGGTGAATAAGTCTCACTTAGACAGTTAGACTATTGATCCAATATAATGAACCTTATTTTTTAATAAATCAAATAGAGGTATTGTATGCATGTTCTATTTATATCTTATGAGTTCAGAGTACTAGTCATGGCTCGGGCCGTCCCAGCTAGTCGGTTCAACCCGAACCGACGGAATCTGTCATGAACTTGCCCGTGGTCACAGGAGCAGAACCAAGCCCGTACTTTGACCTGGCCAGTTCTGGGCCTACGACAAGAAATTTCGCATAAGATGACGAAAAAATTCGTCATGTAAGCCTTGTTTTTCGTCAAAAAAGTACAATGATGACAAAATTTTATCGTCACAGCACTGTAGCCGCGTCATATTAGGTATAGGTGACAAATTTCGAATTTGTGACCAAATGTTTAACTTGTAATGACGTTTAGAAGTTTCGTCATGATATTTCGTCACTTTTCGTGACAATAATTTCGTCACGTTTATAATGAATATTTTGTCACGTAAATGATTATTTCGTCATAAAAAACAAGTTTTAGATGACAAAAA